CAGGGAAATAGGTGTGTGCATAAGGATGGCTAAGTCCCACAGCTTTACTCAGGCAAAAACTATGAATAGTGTGTATTAGATGCCAGGGGGTAAGGATTATTTTGAGTTTTATCCCGGTAGCTGCCTCACGAAGAGGGGGTTTGAACCCGCCAGAAGGAAGAGAACAAGCCAGGGGTGTTGTTTAATAAGATGGGTGCTTCCTTAGCCAGAAAGGGGCTCTGGATTTTAGCTTGTGCGCTTGCTCCCAATGAGGAAAAATGTTCCCAGTGTTATTTTTCCATTTTATACAAAGAATATTAAATGCAAGGTGCAATGGGTCAGCTTTATGAGAAGGGCTGGAAAGGGTTTTGGATAATTCTTAGCCCATGACCTGATGGCTTGAGCAATTTGTTGGAAAGCAAGGGATGCAGGTTCAAACTCCCTTTAATTGAGAGGTGTCAAAACCTGGGTCTCCCACTCCCTGAAGAAGTTTCCTACCCACTACTGAGGGAAAAGAGCCACTCCCCTCTTCCTCCATGTTATTTCTGACAGGTAGGTGAACAGGCTGATTTTACGTCAGCCAGTGGAAAAATAGAAACCAAAGCTGTGCTGAAGTGTCAAGAACTCGAGTTAGATGTCTGTGGACATGGCCTCTAAGGCTCGGTACAGATGTTATACCTATCATGCATTAAATGGGCAGAAAGCGCTCTAAAGCCATAGCTGAACACACATTCACAGTTCATAGAGCACTTGAAAATGCGAACTGCATTCTAAGTTAACCCTTGATGGATGTGGTATTAGACAAAAGCACTCTACGTTAGAGTGCTTTTTTGAACACATGTGACCCATCATGCTTCTTGTTAGGCTGCATTCCAACTCCATCGCAGGTGGCTGAGTGTGGTGCTGTGCTCCCGCCTTGGGCAGAGCTCATTTGCTGGGCCCAGGCACCACAGTGGCCCACCCCCTTGGCTGTCACTGACCCAAGCCAGTAACAGGCTCTGATCCCAGCACTGCACACTCCTTCCAGCCAGCTGTGAGCCACAGCCTGGCAAGTAGTGGGGTAGGGATGTCTCTGTCCTCACAACCAACTCAGCTCCACAGTGTGCCGCAGCCCAACTTGGGGGGGTGGGGGAGGGAAGGGGTCAAGGGTCTCTCTCCCTGCAGCTGCCCTGGCCCATGGCATGGTGCAGCCCATCCAGGATGGAAGGGGTTTGGGTTCCTGCAGCAGCTCCAGTGCGAGTGCACGCTGCAGCCCAGCTGGGGATAATGGGGGAAGGGGTCCAGGGTCTCTCTCCCTGAAGCTGCCCTGGCCTGGAACCTGGGCAGGGGGAAAGGGTCTGGATCCCTGCAGCAGCACCAGCATTGGGGCATGCCACAGCCTGGCTGGGGGGAAGAGGTCTGGGTCCCAGGACTAGGGCATGCTGCAGCCTGCTGTCACTCATGGAACAATGGAAGGGGTGGGGACAGGGACACACTGCTTCCCCACACAAGGAAGTCAATCAGGGATGGTGAGGGAATGTCCAAAAACCTAGGGATCCTGTGGGGCATGCATGCAAAAACACCCCCAAGCTGCTGACCTTGGCCAGTGCTGGGAGGCTTTGAGAAACCCCACTCAACAGTGCACATGTGTTCTGTTCAGTCCCACTCTAGTGCTTTAAGTAAAATGCAATAGAGTGCCATCTGTACTTAGCCTAAGTGCATAAAGTGAAATAAGGTTAGGACTGCACACACACGTGCACAGGAAAACACCCAGCATAAAGGTGACCGAGAATGGGGCTTCTGAAACTGCTCTTGGGACTGGGGTTAGAAGCACCTTCCCTCTAATCCAAATGTTTTGGTAACCAGTGAAAGTTACCAAAACATTTGGCTCTGTTCTTCCATTTTATGAAACCACTCCGGACCTGGGATTCAATGTAATATAATTCACAAGGCTGTGACAAGTTAGGGTCAAATTGTTTCTGCAAGATTCATGAGCAGTAGGTGTCCATATTGTAAAAACAGCTCTCTCGCTGTTTTACTCTCTACAATGGGCACTCCTTTCCCTGAAAAGTATGACGCATTTCAAAGAATACATACTTAGCATACTGTGACCTATGCATCCAGTAAAGGTATGATTTTGGGGGGGGGGAGGGGGAGGGAGGAAGCTGTAAATGCCTGTTATACAAAATTTTTTGTTTCCTATGAAAATATCTTCTAATATTTAGACTACCTAAAGATTGTTCCGCTGTGCATATTGGCATGCAGGCAGAATAGGAGTGCAGCAGACCACCTTCACACCATAGGGTTCCTTCCTGTGCATGTGAAATAAGACCTAAAGAACATCTGTCTGGTCACCTTACAAAGGCAGATGAAATGAAGAAGAGGCTTGTAAAATATACACACCAGTGAACTAGACATAGCATTCTGTGTTGGACACAGATACGGCACAATGTACTCTTTTCCCAGAGCAGCAGCACAATTATCACATAGTCCTTCTGATTTCTCAGCTATGTAATTCCCCTTGTTTGAGGCTAGGCTAGACTATAATGTCACAATCAAGCTCTTAACCAATGTTGTAAAATGAGTATTATAGTAACTTTTTGCAGCTGTTATTTCACTGTGACATTTTTCACATGTACTTTTACTTTTGTATTCTTGAACTCCCATTTTGCAATTTTATATATATTTTAGCTAGTATTTAAGTAAATTATTCACTTCTTATCATTCATCAGGAGGTCTTTGCAAGTGCTCCAGGGTGTGGGAGAGGGAGAGGAGAGCACTTTCATTAAAGCAGCTCTTTGGAATCTAATTAAAATGCGCACAGCATTTTGTGTATTCAGTATGCAACACTTCAAAACAGCAGTGGGGGTGCTTTAACTAAAGCTCATGTGACAAGATTTAAAGCGCCCTCGCCACCATTTTGAAATATAGGGATGCTGGATACACGCGATGCCAAGGCTGCTGAAGCATTCTAATTAGAACGTGTCAGAGCAGGCATCAGGCATGTATACAAGTTCCCTTTTTTCCTATCTGTGTGATTGATGTCAATGGGTAATCAATGTATATATAAATATTTACATGTGCCAAACCAATCTTTTGATGTGCTGCTGAAATATAAAAATTATAAATAAAAGGAAGACCTTCAAATGTATAGTTCAAATGTATGCATATCAAAGGTAGAATTTGGATGCAAGTGTTATCTAAATACAAACTACTTTCAGAAAATACGGGCCAGATCTTCAAGAACAATATCTGAAGGGGTTGGGCACACAATTAAGTATAAAATACACAGCTATTCCTTGATTCTTATGGGACTAAGTGCTGCTGTGGTCCAAGGAGCAATTTAAAACTTGAAACTGCTCTAATCTGCACTGGCTCTAACAACCTTCAAAGGAAGAGGTTGACTTGGACGTGGATGACTTGGCCACATTCCATTTTTTCAGATTTAACAGATCCAAAAAGTGCAGCCTCCAACACTTATTTATGCCCTTTTTCTGGACAGGCAATACATTTTTCTGTTTAAACCCCCTCCCCCCCAACAAAATAGAAAGATTTGGCACTTGAAAATTATGTGAAGGAATGAAGAAATCCATCTTTCTATTCTCTGTAACTCACTCTCCTTCTTTCCCTCCTCCCCCCCCGCCAAGGGTCTAGCTATATGTTCAAATTAAAGCTGGATAGAAACCTAGTATAGAGATGTTACACATTTTAAGAGCACTAACTGTATAGGTGGGTGGCTCTTTTTATAGCTAGATAGTCATTTTATCATGTGATAATTACTTTGCACATTTGGCTGGTTTTAATTTATTAAGTGACTAACCAGTTAATTGTCTGATCAGTACTTTGCACTTATGGCCAATCTTACTTTGCACATGTGGCTGGTCTACATTTATTGCATGATTAACCAGTTAATTGCATAACGTATGTAGTGTGTAGCACGGGTACATATGCACGTACACACACATACACACACACATGCACTCAGGCACAATATATTTCTTTAGTTTTTTTAAAAAACTCAGCATATCCCAAATTAATTATAAAAATGATTCTTACCTGGGGATATTATATAGAAAAAGTCTTTAAACTCATCCATCCAGACCTCTGCTAGTCTCCTATTGTTTTTGTTGATCACATGACCCGTACCACCAGGAAAAGTATATGGGGTTGCCTTTCGGAATACATGTCCAACATGAGAACATGTTACAATCTCCAGGGAGCCTCCACACTGCCAAATCTGAAATCAAAGGATTTAAAATTATAAGCAAAACCAAAAGAAACAAAAAATAAGATAAAGAAACCTTGCATCTTCTTTTAAAAGCAGAAGCCTGGCCTGTGAAAATGATGAACGGCTGTCTCCAATTATCAGCAGATATCCAAATGATGCAAAAGAAGGTGGTTTGAGCCCAGAGAGGGATGTTTGTTGTGATGTTCCCTTTACGGATAAAATTGAGATTTTTTTTTTTGGTGAAATTAGAGCACAAATGGCTTGATATCAAAACAGGGAGGAGGCATCAAATGAGATTTTGCATGAATCTGTCCTGGATCTAATATTGTTCAAAATCCTTACTAATAACTTGGTAGATGGAAATGAACATATATACTCATATATAATTCCATTTTATTATTAAGCTAGGTGGGTCAGCAGACATGATAGAAGTAAGATTAAAAAAAACTTTGATAAATGGGAAAATTGCATAAAGATTAATTGGATGATGTTCAGCAAGAACAAATACAATGCATTATACATAGGAAGAAACAATTGAATCCATAAATACATACAGGAACATAATTCAACAACACAGTTTTGTCACAAAAAAACTAAAAGCATATGTATTAAAGGAGTGTCATATGTCACCAAAATTGAATCCTTCACTCTGTTCATCAATGGTAAGGCATCATTTGGAGTATTGTGTTCAGTTCTAAACACCAAACTTCAAGGATGATATGAACAATTTAGAAAGAGTTCAGCGGAGGAATAAAAATCATCTGAACTCTAGAAAACATCACATGGAAGGGAAAGTTTGAGGAACTGGAATTATTTAGTCTGTACAAGGGAAGACTGAGAGCAGACTAGATAACTACTTTCAAAATGAACAGGATTGCTACAAAAAAAATGGTGAAGTGTTTGAGTGCAGGTTAGATGAACATTTTGCTGGGACTGTTTGAACAGGAATGACCCTGCTATGAGGAGGAAGCTGAAGTAGAAGCCCTATTTTTCTATGATTCTTTTAATCTCAGAAGTGAATCATTTAAAGTCAATTTTAAGGCAATGATATAGCATGAGCCAAAGTCACTCAGTGTAAAGAAGGTGCAACACCATTGCGTCAGAAGAATTTCTGAATTCTAATAAATTCCTCTTTTTCTCCGGTGAAAATTCATGAATCCTTCCTTTCCTTCACCATTCAGCTGATTTTGGTAGAAAAAATTACTTCAGCTCTTGACCTCACTTGCCAGTTTTGAAGTGGCACCTTGGTAGACTGCCGAGATGCAAGGAGGAGTAGAAAGGAATCATACCTCTCTGAACAAATTAGTCTCTAAGGCGCCATCCTGCCCTACCCTCTGCCTAAGCTTACAACAGAAACTCATTTGCAACCTTTACTAACACAGCATAATTCAGTTACCTAATTTCAGAAATTAAGACATTTAGTAGTGCCACCCTTCCAATACAAAATTCCTAATTTTTCTTTTACCTGTCAATTACAAGAGCCTAAGTCTTTAGTGTGGTTACTACAATCACATATTTCACATTTTTCCATGTATTTTATATTGCCTTTCTATACACCCTTCAGAACTCCCTTTTCCACATTACCATATTATGTATGTACCCGTTTCTCTGTTGACCCTTATCTCCTTTTTTATTGCAGTAGTAGCACTCCATTTCCTTCCCTGCAATGACCATCCATATTTTTCCTCCTTCTTGTGCCCCCCCCCCCCCCCCCCCCCCCGCGCTCCTCCAGTCTT